CTGAGTACTCAAATGCTTTTTAAATGAGAAATTGGTAGTGATGAAATTCCTTTCACTTCCCATTCAAATGCTGTGGGATTAGCTTATATTGGCCATAGAAAGTCACAAAGTGTTGATGGATAGCAACCCAACACAGTGGAAACCTAGCTTAGTTTTTTGGGTAATCTAGTGCAATCATTCTCAGATGGGGAAAATTGCTTCCTCTCCTGTATGTTTGCAAGGGAAAAGGCTTATGCTTCCAGATGGCTTGTTGGAAGGGAAACACTGCTAGGTCAAGAGGCTGGGTGAACTCCAGGTCATCCTTGTGGGGAACAGTGCCTGCGGATTTCCTCCTCCTTTTGTCTTTCCTCTTCCCCTACTCCATGTAGCCTTTTGCACTTTGTCAGTGGAGAGGGCAAGGGGAGGAAGAAGGGGCTGCCCAGGGACCTGGAGGGCAGGGTGAGGTGCTACATTTTCATGTATGTAAAGTGGGCAGGAGGGACACTCAGTGTACCGTGGGTGATTTGTTTTTTCCTAGTAGGGCTTAAAATAATTGCAGTATAACCAGAAAACATCAACAACTTTTTTTTTTTTTTTGAGTCTTCTCCATGTTAGAAAAGAACTAATACCAGGCTTATGCGTTACCTCTACTGATCATCTGACACCCATGTAATATCATCTAGTAGCCACAGCAGGGTGGGCATTCAGTGTTTTCACCTGAAGTGTATGTGAAACTTCTTAATTTGAACAAACATACATATAAAATTCCATCACCTAGAATGACTCTCTCCAAAATTATAATAGGTTTTGGTTACTCAAGAATAAGGGAGTGAGCCATACAAAACTAAGCAATTGAATTGAGGCTTCTTTTCTAAGTCAGGCAGTTGCTCCACATTGTGAAGTTGTAAAGGAATACCAGAAGGACTGCCCTGTTTCATTATCCTGTCTTAAAAAGTCCCTTTTGTAGAAGATAAGAGACGGTGTCAATATGAAGTTGAAATGCGTGCTCAGACAGCCATCAGAGCAATGCAGCTTAGAGTAAAATTGTGCTTGCTAAAATTTTGGCCCAGATACGCTTCAAATACTTTCAGTATCTTTCTATTCACATGTTTTCTGTTACTGAAAGGAAACTGATGCATTTTCCCATCTTATTTTCTGTATGAAAATCAAAATATGCTGAGTACCTTTATTTGTGATTAAGATGTACAGTGGCTGCCTTTGCTATTCATCGTGATAATTGCATCTTTCAGGAAGATTCTCTTATGTTTTTATTCTATATGTTTTAGAATTGATGTGTTTGAGCTTAAAAGTGAAAAAAAACCCCTCAATCTATAGGAGGGTATTTTTCTCTAGCCAGACATATCTATTTAATCATAGTAAAAGATGAACCACGAGGCATCACAGATTTCTTTATCAGTTTCTCCTGATGACTAAGTAGGTTTCTTATACACACTGGGATGCTTATTTAATAATGTGACAGTAAAAAAGGAACACAGAAGGAAGAATATCTGCACATCTAAACATCTGTGCCAGTTTGCTTAGGCATCTGACCCCTGTAATAAGTAATGTGACTATTGAAATTGTTAGTGTACAATTTTCCACTGATTTTTTCTTCTACGCTTGTGAGTCTTTAATATATATACACGATCATTATTTTGTTTAAAGTATCAAAAAGATGAACCACAATAAAAATGCAAAGTCAGTGCTCAGGTCTGTCTTCAGCGGAATTGAGAGAAAAGTCTTAGAGCAAAGTCAGAAACTGTATTTTTGGAAACAGCCTGCGTACAGGCGTGCTTAGGGAGGCTGTTTGTAATAGCCTAAAGCCAACAAACCTATTACAATAAAAGGCTGTTCATTTTCTCTTATCCCTGACAATGTTTTGCTCAAAAGCATAGGAAGTAATTAAGAAGGAAAATGTCTTTCATCTTCAGAGGAACTGAGAAGATGGCCATAAAAGGGCAAGAGTGGGTTGTAGTTTGGTAGAAGTTCTGATAGGATATGGATTTTCAGTGTGAATAGTTCTCCATGTCAGCAAAAACAGGTCATTACAGTTTTCTGTGACGTTCATAACTAATTTAATGGAAGTCCTGATATAATATGCTATTTAAGTTGTACCCATTTTGTAATTGAAGTCTCAGTTCAAATGGTGACTGTGGCAATCTATTTTTTTTATTTCCAAAATGGGCTTTTTTTGACTTCGTACTGTGTTGCAAAGTCATTTATCCGTATAAATATGCATTTTATAAAGAAGTGATTGGAGTTATTAAAAACTCAATATAAAACTATCAGAAAAGAAAAATATTTACTATAATTGGGTCATCTATTATTGCATTCTTTTTTTGTCCAAAAGGGTATATGTATTTTTGAAAGCTATTTATAGTGATTTATCACACAAAATATTTCAAATATAAGCAAAGCAACAAAGCTTTTCAGCTGAACATGAAATGACCACGCTGTGCTTTTGTGCCTGCACAGCCATGGGGTATCAGTGATGCTTGAAAGGATGTTATATATGCCAGAGAAGTCCTAGAAACTATATAACATTTCAGCATATAGAGGATTGCCCTTGGTGGCTTCCGTATAAAACACTTCTTTTCATGAATTATTTTTTTTTAAAGCAGAGAGCTTTTGACTCTGAAGCTAATTTGCAAACTTATTTTCCAAAATTTGTTAGGTATAGTTTCATGTTGAAAGTTCCAGCATTCTTGCACCTTTCAGTTATCTAATTATAAAAGTAATATCTACCCATGGAAACCAACACATATGTGAATTTAAAATGATACAAAAAAATATTTCATTTTAATGGCTGAATTGTCCACACTTACTACTGCAGATTCACAGTTTTCTCCTCAAAAGTCATGTGATTAAAAGATTGTCGCTGCTGGAATACAAAATATTTGTGTCACCCTGTTCGCTATGAGTATAATTCAGGAGCTGACAGGAGATAAGATAAAAGTCAATAAAAAGAGAATTATTTATTAAAAAGTCTAATGTTACAAGAACAGTACACAGGAACTATTATATTACTGTGTCTTCCACATCGTATATACCATTATATATAGCATATATACAGATTGTATACAATATAGCTAACATTTTGTTATGGGCCATGACAGTATATTTCTTTTGGTCTGCAAAACAAAGTTTCTTTCTAATAATTTTTTTCCAAACATCATGTGGCATTATATGAAAATACAGTCTCCGCGGTGACACTAGACTGCACTATTACAATCTGTTACATGAAAAAGAAAGAGCTTTCATTTGCAACTAAAAAATATGTCATGATAGGGAAAAATCTTCTTCTACAAAGTAACAAATAGTTAATACATAGATACTTAAATATTTAAAACAAGTTTATTAATATATTTAAGATGCAAAATACATACTCTGTTCATGTTGAATATAAAACATACCCCTCTTTGTCCCTGCAATACAATTACATTACCTGATGGCATGTTCAGTATTTCTATCTGTAGCTTGATACTTGAGATTGAGATATATCTAGATGCAGCTCTATCTCCTTATCAGACTTGCATTTTTATAAAGTATAGCCATTTATTGTATTGAGAAAGTTCTTTAATCAAAACACCACCAACAGTTACTATAGCCTTTTTGAATACTCTGAAATAAGCTGTGTTGGCAAGAAGCTGTATAAAAAATAGAGGAAATTATGCCTAACTAATTTATAAAATAGCCATTTTGCTTTTTGGTTCATAATTTTATTCTTGTTTATTTTAACCTTTCAAAAAACAATGGTTTGCTAATGCAAATTCTCTGCACAGGAGCAATGCTGCTGTCTTACATACCACAGCAGGTAGTTGTTTTCTATGAGTTTGCTCTATCAGCAAGGTACAGTCCACCTTCTTTTGTCTGATTTCAAAGGCTTTTCCAGAAGCACACGTATAGAAGGTCTCCCGTCTGTATCTACAGTCTACGCTTGGCTAGCTGTCTTTGTTTTCCTAGCAACATGGTGACTAAGTAAATTTAAAACCTATTTTTCTGAAAATTAGTTAAAATATTAGTGGGTAATAAAGATTTGAGTTGAGCCATCTTTGAAAAATTTTGCTGAAAAAATATTCAAAAAAACCCATTCAGTCATCAGTCAGCTTTTCACCTACTTGATCTCTGTTGTGCTTTCTTGGCTACTATTTTAAAGCTGCTAAGAAAGGGCACGGTTACAGAGTGTAGTAGCTAAATGCAAAGTATTGGTTTGCTAGTTAGCTGGCAAAATAATAGCATTTTAGACCCAAACCCCATCAACCAAAATAAATTTGCATCAAAACTTTTAGGGGGATGGACTATGCTATTAGAAAAACTGTGCTATTAGGACTTGCCTGTTAAATCCTTTAAACTTGATTTTTCCCATGCAAGGGAATGCTCAACCTAGGCATGATCCCTAGACACATGGTAGTAAAAAACCATCCATCGTAACACCGTGCACACCATAACTGCACAAACACGCACACCATATACGCTGGGGATCGTCTTGGTTCAGGTGCCAATATGTGGAAAGGTCTTCCAATGTAGAAAAATTTCCCAAATTGTCTATTGAGTGAAAAATTGTTTGGTACAGCAAAAAGTGAGGATTGAAACTGATAACATACAGTCCCTACAAAAGTAACCTCTAGTGAGCTATAGAAATAGAGCCAATTAGCTAAGTAACTGGAATGGTGCTCTGTAGCACTTATCCAAGTGATTTTTTTCAGACACAGCATTCTCCAAAATATATCTTGCTGGAGTCTGTATACATGAATGATTACATTCAAAAAAAATGTTAATATTCTCTCCATAATACATTTTCATATATACTTCAACTTGATTACCAAATATATAAAGCACAGAATGTTCCTAAAAATTAGACCCAGAGCAAAAAAAAAAAAGTTACAACTGAGAAGTGGTTGGAAAAAATAGGTTTATCTCCTTGCATTGTTTTATTTGTCCACTTAGCAGCCTAATGTTTGTCAGGTTTAAATGTCCAGTGGAGTTTTCATTGTCATATGCATCAGGAATTGATTTTTTACTTGCTATTGAAAATAAATATTTAATTCATTTGACATTAAGTTGTGGTATTTGATAAAAAGCAAACTACTTTCCTTTTGTGTTTAATCACTTTCCATTTACCTTGTAATAAAATAAATGGCTTTTCTGCTCCATTTTGCCACTTCTTGAGCGTGCTGCCTAGTATTTTATTGACAATACTTTTTGCTGATTAAATACTTATCCATATATTTTCAGAACAAAGTTCTCTGTACTTTTGCAGTGGGCTATGTATCTAAATTATATTTTTTTCTCTTGTCAGTAAGAATAGCCAGCCATAGGAGATGCAAGAAAAGTATTCGACAAAGCTGTATCAAACTTTATTCTATATTTTAAAAAAGGATTTTTTTCCAAACCAAACAGATGTACTGTACTAGATACCACTGTTTAAACACCTAATGATACATGACTGGGGTCACCAAAATTGAACATATTAAAAAAGTAAAGTACGTTTGACAGAAATTACGTTTGCTTACAAAAGTTTATTACATACAATCTGCATATTTTTTGGGCCAAGAAGTGTCCCCTCCCCAGAGGACTTTTACAAAAAAAGAAGAGAAAAAAACCTGATGAATTATTGACTGTGTCTCCAACGCTCCTCTAAGTGCATCACAGGCATTTCTATGGGTCTTTAAGCATTAGCTTAGGTTTTCAGTTTCTCCACGGACATAAAACTCCATTCCTTGGTGTCATCAAGCTAAAGCAAACAAATAACAACAATAATAAATTCTGCAGTCTTCACCATGAGGCTGAAGGAACCATCAGTGCCAAAAGCAATGTTACAGAGGACGAGGAAGTAGACAACACATGTAAGGTGGACTGAGCACTTGTTACTTTCCCTCCTGAAATGAAAAGCAAAATAATTAAAGTACAAATGATGCAAATGGTTCTCAATACATTAGGTAGTAGATTTTGTCCAAAACTTGTATTCAGTTATGCTCAGCAAAAGCCTAACATTTAGGCAATTGGTTACCTTGTGAGAACTGCAATCACAAAGTAGGCTCCCTAGACAGACATAAGGAAATTGGGGATTTTCTGATGATATCTACAGCAAATCACATGCTGAATCCTCAGCATATTCACTGTGCAAATGAATAGGAAATTCCAAAAGGGTATGCAGTTTTATGCCTTAATCCTCAAAAGGAATTAGGCTGCAGAAGATGCCCTGAGCCACAATCACAAATGCTCTTCCCAGAATAAGTAATGAAAGCTAGACCTTGATCTTGATGTTTGTCCAGCAGAAAAGAGTGGTGTTTTGCCCAGTAGCCCAGTGATGTTTTTAGATCACAGCAGTCCCTTAAAAAGCTGTGTTAAGGGGAAATGTGCTATCAGCTGGCAGTGGCAATAGATCACAGGACAGGAAGGGAATCAGACTGGGTTTCTCTGGACCAGTTGTCCTAAGTGGAACAGATCTGTTGTGCATAGTCTAATGAAAATATCAGCTTAGAGGGAATGAAAGATTTTGTGTCCTAGAGTTGTGGCTCAAAAGATATATGAAACAAGTGTTCCATGGAATAGGAGTTGGTGTCTTCTGCATTCTGATGATAGAACTGTAGTTTGCGATTAGGCTAGAGCTGAAATTGTAGGTTTAGATTGAAATTTCAGACTCACACCTTTCGGATAGTACTCCTTAAGAACTAAAAAGCAATGCTTAGTAGAATTTTAAAGTGTCAGTAGAAAGTTAGGATTAAGATGCCTTGTTGTGTTTAGGCAAAAGATGATGTTATTTTCTAGTTGTTCTTGCCAAAAATCCTTCCACCTCTTTCTTACCTGTGTAATATTGCTACTTTAAATTCTTTCCACATATGGCAGTAACTGAGGAAATAGAAGCTAGACATCATAATTTACTTAGTGATAATACAGTAATACTGTAATACATTAATAATTTAATAAAGTAATATCTTCTCAAGGGAGTCAATGGAACCTACAGAGAAATTCAGCTTATTCTAAGGCAGGCACATATACAGGGTTCAGCTACCTAAAACATGTTGTTTTAGCTATGTTAGTACACCTCTCGTTGGTGGTCCAGAATGATGTGCATGTTCTCTAAGTCCCACATCATATTTGCCAGGTCTGTGCAAGTGCTTGGGATAGCTTAGGACATCTCAGATGTTCTTATGTGCCTATGTCTGAATATTTAATTTCAGAAGATCAGCAAAATTGCTGTCTAGGCTTCACTGTCTGCATGGATTACATGTCAGCTAACTATAATGTCATTTGAGACACCTGGTGTGCGTGTAGACATCTACAGCTCAGTTAGGTTTCCAGATGTTATCCTACAAAGGGAGAGGTTTCCTGTAAATCCTCTGCTTTGTTCATCAGCCCCACATGGATGTCTCTAATGCTCTTAATGAGCATTGCTATAATCGTCATTCTTCCAGATACAAGTGCAAACGTACCTGAAAAAGATGGAACTCTGATCTGGGGACTTGCAGTCCCATCCCCTCCTTCACTGACTGCACAGACCTCGATGATGTAGACACCAACATCAGGAAGAAGTACCACTGCAGATGTTTTTTGTGTTTCTATAACTTGACTGTTGCTCTGGCCTTCTTGCCTAAATAATACCTGTGGTCAATAAAGTAGATAGTGGTCATAGTGGTCATTCACGTTACAGACCAGACATTTTGTGTAGATAACACAGTCACTGAAATGTTAACTGTTTCATTAGGGATTTAATGACATTACATTTGAACAGCCATCTGCTTTTACTCTCACCCCCAAATGGCTTCAGAAGCTGATTAAGAAAGTATATTAGCAATTAATGAATGTGAAAGGACATTGGTTATGATCCAGAGCAAAGATATAACATTTGCCCCCTGTGGCATTAGGTGTTACACAATGTTCTCTCCAAAGTTTCTTCAAAGTGCATTTTGGGTTCGATTTGCGTTCCAGTCCAAATTCTTATCCTAAATTCATGTAGATTCACATTTTTGGCTGAAAACCCCAATTTTAAAGGTAAAAAAAAAATGCCCTAAATAGTGTCCTTATTTTGTTTGCTTTAGCTGGTTAAGTCAACTGAGAATAGCTCAGAACTGTCCCTGCATCTCCTGTGAAACTCAGGACAAGCTTATGGTGTGTGGGAGGAAAGCAAGTGAGTATATAGCTGTCTTTTTGGCACTTCTGCGTAAGAGTTTCTGTTCCCAAACAAAACTGAAAAGGTCAGAGAGGTGTAAAAAACCAAAGCAGTCAGCTCAACATTTTCAGAATCTCCACTATTCTGATAAAGGTTAGGGCTGTTTCTGGTTTATTTGAATAATTTTACACATTCTTGGTGATATTCCTGATGTATCAGAGGGAATATCAGATTGTAGTCTGAAGAAATGATCGCATATATACTTCAAAAGCAAGCCCCATCTCACTGTAAAAACACTGAAATAATTCTGCTTTGATTTAAAAGATTGCAGAGAATTCCACTGCTTTTTTATGACTTGTTATTTAGGAATTAATCTGGATCTTATTCTTTAAAACTTCAAAACTTTAAATGCCAGATGTTACTGCCACTGATTGTTGAACATCACCAGCATGATCACAAAACAAACCAAAGTATTTGTGTTTCTGCTCCATAAAAATATTAATTTTAATGTCATTTTAAGATGCCTCATTCTGCTGCATTTCTCTAAATCCTACTGCAAACACAGTTAAATTGAAGTGTTAGCAGGAATTTCATTGCAGACTGGTCTTATTAATAGCCACTTCTAAGTCAGATATGATAAACTGATCCCTCAGATAGAGCTTACTCAGTTTGTAATCAGTAGTTGAAAATCACAACACACAAAGTGTTGGGACATTTCACTCTTTTCATTTTTATTTATTGCTTTTCATGGTGAAAACTGATTTCAGATAGTCTATATAGTATACTTACACAGAAAAACAAGAAAGGGAAAAAAGCCAACAAGGAAGAGGAGCAGACATTTGGAAGAGGGAAGGGTGAGCAAGGAAGGGCAAGCACTGACCTTGTATCCCATTACGTCAGATTCATTAGGTAGAGGTCTGACTGGCTCCCACCCAAGAGACACATGAGAGCCATCCTGTATCCACATAATATTGCTTGGTGCTTGGCTGGGAGCTGAGGAGAAAAAATAACATGTACATAAACATATTTTATAGGTAGTTTATCTAAAATTAAAAAAAAAAAAGTGTTTCAGCCTTTCATTACCTTTACAACTGGTTGTGTTAGCAGGCTCCCAATTCTAGCCTGAATATTTAAAGATTTTTTTTTTTTTTTTTTGCACCAGAATTGTCATTTAATAGATTGTGGTGTATTTACTCAGCCCACCCCATAAGCTCCCCAAAACTTATGGACCTGAACTTTTTTCTCTCCCTTCTTTGTCAAAAATAACTTGTTTTCTAGGAAGATAACCTTTGTTATAAATGCAAAGTCATACGAGTTCATGTCTAAATATCAAAGCAAAGCCATGAATCAAAACTATACATGATTCTCGATTATTATACACTCTTATTAAAGGAAAACCCACAAGGGCAGAGGTTGCTTCCTGACTTCTTCCTTTGAGCAAATGTACTGAGATTACTTACGGGACTTCTTGGTTGCTGCACGCACAGCAGTGCTAGGTGGTCCGTACCCTGCAGCGTTGTATGCCCTCACCGTTAGGTGATATAATGTGTTTCCTTCTAATCCTGTCAGAAGGATGGATGACTCATTTCCCTCAGTTTTGACCTTTTCTGCTGCTTCTTCCTGCTCCATGTCCTTCCAGTAACCAACCTGCCAAAAAGCAACCAAGTGAAGCATTAGTATAGGCCTCTGGGAAGCTCACGCTTCCAAATGCTCATACTTTTTATCCTGTGGAGGGTCTTTTTGCCATTTTTACCTTTTGTCTGATCATCAAGCCCTTTTAAACACATACAATTTGCAGCCTAACATCAGAGACAAACAATGCTCACTTCTCCAAAATGGCGAGACTCTGAATATTGTGGTATTACTGGAAGCACTTTGAATTGCTGTGGGCTGGCATGAGAGGATGCAACTACAAGATGGTAGAGCAGAGGATGAACATTGGGAGGGAGTCAAAAGTATTTCAAAGGAAAGCTCATCCTCTGGTAGATCATCAGAATATCTGCCTTCACCCTGGAAAGCTCTGACTGAATCAATAAAGAAGTGTTGTGAGCAATATTCCCTTCTTTGCCCTGGGCAATTCAGAGCCATGAAATTTCTTATCAGTGTAATGAACAGAAAATGACAGAACACCAAAGGAAATCCTTCATTTATCTGAAAAATCTTACCTAAGGAAAAAGAAGGAAGTGCATTCAGTTTTAGTTCTTGGATATAAACACATTTCTGGCAAATGCAATTTTGATAGCATGTTTATGCCCTTCCTTTTCAGACACAAAAACCCTGAATGATCTACGTGGTTCTCACTCCATAGTTCTGGTATCTGCACTGAGTTTATCATAATCTCAAGGAGGTTATAGAGCTGATCTAGGAATTTGACTAGTCTCTTTCCTCAGGGACCAAGTATTTGCAGGACATAAATAGGAAAAAAACAGTACTGTCTCTCTTTAATGTATTTAGGTGACCTACACAAGCAAGGTAATTGTCACGGGGACCTATTTTTCCTGACAGGAGATGTCACTAATGTGCCATTCAAAGACCTGTATTCAGCTTGCTGTTATTCATGCTGAGACCTACTTGCATTTATTCCACATTTTGACCTTTTCTGTAAAGTTGGTTATTTCATAATAAGTTATTTGTGTTATATCTGGACAACTTCTCCTCTGAGAAAAAGGTCATGGACAATACAGCACTCTTGTGAATGTATCCCAGAAAATGGTGAACCAAAAAAACCAAGGGGTTAATAGGAAAATAAGAACAATGAGTACAATGGTGACCTTTTATAATTGCACTAGGACTGCCATTCAAAAAAAAAAAAATCTAGAAAGACCTGGCTACAAAAATATACATTTGAGGTCATGTCTTCATTTGAGTAAAGTGTCTCTGTTAACAATGATTGAGGTCATATCAGTTTGTGCCAACTCAAAATCTAGTCTTTCTATTGTAAAATTCATGTAAATATCTTTTATGTGTGCTTGCATTACCTCATGTTAAAATATTATTGTTTTAATTCTTTGGTTAGTTACAGCTCATATAGCAAATCTAGGTGTAGTCACCACTTGTTAAAATAAGTGTGTTACATTGAGATATTTTGCTAGGTGAATGCTTGACCAACCCTGTTGGTATCTGAAGTAATACCTAGTCACATCTTTCTCGGAAAGAAAAAAGAATCAACAACTATTTATTCACACACTATGGTTGAACCTCCAATGCTTATTCTCTCTTGGGCAGTCACATTCCTTTCATTTTACTTGCAATGCATCTTCACAAACTTGACACCACAGTGATGAGAGCCACATAGTATTAAGCACTGTATGAACAGGCAGTGAGCGACAGCACATATCCTGGAGACCCTGTCATCCAGTTAGTGAAGTCTGCTGAGGATCCAACATGGAAACGGTCAGAAAGGAAAAGTCACTTGCCCAAGGTTACATGGGCAGACAGTAACAGAGTTGGAAATGCAACTGAAGTAGTGAAATCCTGTTTCTAGAAAGCCAGGAACAAAATTATTAGTAGCTCAATAAGTCTCATTGTTTATTCACAGGGTACACAGTGCCTCGTGTGAATGCAAGGCAGTAGCTACCCCCCAACTTTTGCACTGAAGCTTTTTTTTTTTTTTTTTTTTTTTTTCCCCCCCCGATATAAAGAAATCAGGAAAACTTGATTTTCCAAATATTGGTGTTAGGACTACACAGATATTAAAACCTGATGAGTGTGGAAGAAAGCTGGGAGCATGACTCAGCCCTTTTAACATTTTTCATGTTTTTTAAATGCTCTCCACCACTGCTTTTATGGCATTGTCAGTTTGGATACTAATTATATTTTGGACATGTTTAGTCTGCAAAAATAACCATGGTATGTTCCCTACCAGTTCTGCTGCACCACATGGCAAAGGTGTTCCCCCTTGCAAAAGGGTTATTCTTGAGGGAATGAATATACTGTATGAAGCACCAAAAGCATGAAATGCAATTTGGCAATGCTTCTATTTCAATTTCTCCTGTACTTCAAAGCCTTTAAGTGTTTGATCCCTGCTTTTAAAATTCCCCTTAAAGTTTTGCCAGGTGAGTTTGGACTTTGATCTCAAACTATGCTTTTCTCTTTCTTTTGTAATGCACACATCCATTTGTTGATGGCCAAATGAACTAAAGGAAAAAAGTGGTTATAAAAAAAGAAATACAGTGATTGTTGACTGAGGTCGATGGTGAGGGAACACATTGATTTGAACTGAAATCAAGATACTGCTGATGGTTAAAAGTGCTGGACGTATTTCTTAAAACAGAGGGTTTGTTTATTTATACCCCTATGTGTTTGTTTGTTTGTTTTAGATCTTGCTGTTTTCTGCAATGTTAATTTATACTGTTCTGAAGAGATTTACTGCACTTAGAGTAGGGTTTCATTAATGACAACTTTAAATACTTATATAGTATGAAGCATAAATAACAGAAGAGTAGCCCATATTTGAAAAATGAAAGAAAAATTGTGGAAAAAATTTTGGTCTATTTGATGCATTATTGTTTGTGAGGTTTTAAATTTTTGCTAGACTTTCTGTTCTCTTTCACTTAGCCAAAGAATACCAAGCTTTGATATCTGATTCCCAGACTCATCTCTCTGAGCTGGAGAGAAAGCAAAGATGATATTCAAATGAAGAGAGAAGACGCCGGAACATTCAACCTGCTTTGCCCTGATTGTGGGTTAAAAGGAAATGATTATGTTAAAAACTTGTTTCCATCTAACACTTTTCTACTTCTAGCACTTACATATCTCTTCCTTGAAGTTTGAGGTTAAAAGGTATTTTAAATAATATTACTCTTTTTCCCAAATTGGTTTGTAGGGTGTGCATACTAAGGTATAAATTAATCTGATCTAATTGTGGGTCTTCTCTAAATTCAGTACAGTCAGGGTTATTGTCTGGATACTCCTTCTGTTGACCACAGAGAATTAAAGCTACAAATTAAGCATATCAAGGAAGAGCCTAAATTAGAAAGGATGAATCAAATAGGACAAAACACACAAACTTTCCTGGGCTCTCTGACTGCGTATTTATCAACAAAACCAGTACCGACATAACTGAAGAAGAACTTCAAGAGATTGCAGAGTACAGAAGGAGCTAGGGGAGAAAAAGCGGTGACCTGAAAGAACTGCTGCTAGCCCTGAGAAAAACCAGACAATGGTTCATATTTGATAAAAGTAATTTTAATTATCATAATCAAAAAGCCTGCCAGTGCCTTGAACTGGCACATGTAAGTCATGCAAATTTTAGTGCAATGATAGAACCAAGCACTTAAGAGATGAAAAGAGGTGCTTTTTGTATCATCTTAAGACATTGGTGTGACTGTCCTTCAGAACAAGATGAGAGGCTCCTGCAAAATACCAATCAACCTCAGTTCTTTCCCTCTCACCAAAACAATTGCTGACTGAAAAGAAGAAAGAAAACACTGTCTGGTTCTCCTAGGTTCTGGGGCCTTCTCTGAAGTAGCCTGCATCCTCCACCTCTTTCCTCAGGTACTCTCTTCTCCCACATAGTCCTGCATACACATGGGACAAAAACTGATATTGTACCTTAACCTTGAGGACTATCATCAAATATCTAGTCATATATGCAAAATCAATTATTATCTAGGATTCTGATTTTAGGTAATAGAAAGCTAGTAGTTTTGTAACAAGCTGCTAATGATACAGTCATCATTGCAAAGGGTATGGCTCTCTTGAGGCACTCGTGAGAGATCTAGGGTGTGATCCCTATCTTAAGGACTTGACAAGCAGTAGTACTGCTCTGCTATAAACTCATGATTACAATCTTCAGGATTTTCAAGGGGTTTGAATCAGCATATGAGAAAGTTTGTAGGCTAAATTGACTCATATATAAAACTAACCAATTGCTAATTTTGTGTTTGGGAAAATTCATTAATTCCAAAAGTAAAGTCTGATAAATTGGTTCCTCTTTTTTTCTGTCGTGCTTTACCAGCCTCTAGTAAAAATATCCATGTGCTCTTTCTAAATTACTTCAAGGTATATTTCACTAAATTAAAAAAATAAAATTCCAGTATCATGTAGACACAATTTTCTGTTCCCCTGTAACAACAGATAAAGTACATCTAAGAAACAGCAAAAACTTGAATATTTCTCTTTGAAAGACAGAATATGATATAAACAAGTTATTATATTAAGTAATTCTCTCTGAAAATGGCATTCAAGCTTTTCTATTTTTTATATTTTTTTGTTGCAAGTTGATCTTTTGATTAGGTCAGTCAAAGTCCTATCCCCTGGGTGAATTCCAATGAAAAAGACATGAGCTTTGTGATCTATACTTAAGTATTAGCCTTGGTTTTCTGGAAAAGAAAAAAAGAAAACCAAAAAATCTTTTTTTTTTTTCCAGCCAGTAATTCTTTC